AAAAAGAAAAGAAAGAAAGAAAAGGAAGAAGAAGAAGTCATGTAAACCAAAGTATTTTCCCATTGCACATTTGCAACACAATCTTTGCAAATAAATATCAATAATTACTTTGAATCACTTAATAAAGTATGTTTCAAATATTCTAAAAACAAACACAAACAAGGTAAGTGATTTGTAATAGTAGCAGTTCACTGTCTGATGCTTTTAAAATTCTGTATTTTTCCACCTTATTCTTTTCAAAGCAATTGCTAAACCCCATTCAAAAAAGCAAAGAGGCCTCCCAGGATTCACTATGCACTGCTAAAGTTGTAATACAGGCCAGCACATCAGGAAGATGTCAGCAGAGATAATTACTATTGGAGAAGTTTAAACGGAAACTTCTAATTTAGAATTCACCCAAGTGGAAACAAGCCCAGCTTGCTTAGGGGCATGTCCAGATTTCCTCAAAATGTCCTTATTGTGAGAACCAAGAAGGCAAATGTGGAGGATAATGGACATTCTGGGGTGTACGTGGAAAGGCACTGAGTGGATATGGAACTAACACTCAGGACTTCAAAGTCATTGTAAGTGAATCCAAGATGTTGAGCTTGGCACACAAGGAACAAGTTAAGAGATAAGAAATTTCCTGTTTTAACTAATGACAGTGCCTCTTTGAGATCTTCTAGCACCAAGTGACAGCTATTTACAACTTCGGCAGGCACTGAAAGCAGGTCAGCCACAGGCTACACTGCAGTATCGCGCTCCTTCCTGCAGACAGTTTGCAGCACAATTTAGCAGTTCCTGGGCCTCCTCTTTCTGCTGAAACTCAGCCGGGCTTTAACACGCCTGCCAAAAGTTCCCCCTTCCGGGCCTAAGAGTCCAGGATTCCATGCCAACCCCACGTGGCTGGATGCCACTTGGGGACAGCGCCTGTGGACACAGAGACCAGAGTCTCAGAAAGCCTGTGGCTCAGTTGCCACTTGTGGCCACTAGGTGTCAATAACGAGTAAGAAGACTCCTGTCCTGAGTTGTCAGGGAACTTGGGCCAGACCCTGAACTGGAAGAAACCGGATGCTGTGGCTTTAGGGACAAGCAGCACTATCATCACATTCTTAGGCATTTGTGAATTCAGGCATTCATTTTCTTATTTGCCAACCTACCATGCAAACTCACCATACAACCTCTAGGATGGCTTTAATTCCATGTTTCTCACACACTCAGAGAAAAGACATACTGCTCACTTCAATGGGACTAGGGTCTTTTACCCTGTCCCCTCCCCCAGGAAAGTGGAAACATAAAGTACAGTTTTCTACTCTTTGTCTACCCTCCCCATGTAAGGTTTTAAACGAGTATGTCAGCAGCATCTATTTATACCGAGGATCAAGGCACTTGGTTTATAACATGTTTCGGGACTCCTGGGTACAGAGTCCACGGGAGGGGAAAATCTAGCAAAGAAATCAGATGGTGCAAAGCTAGTACCAAGTGCCATTTCACTGGCTGCTTTATTGAGCTGGATCTAAACTGATTTCTCTTATCAGATGCAGCAACTTCAACATAAATATTGGATTTCTGAGTAGTTGCTACAGCATTTAAAATTGTACTTTATTGGCCTTTCAAACCCAGGAAAGTTCTGTTCTATGTATAACTACTTGCCTCTCCAGGATGAGGACGCTTCCTTTGGAACTCAAGACTATGTCAAACCAGGCCCACTAGTGTTTCAATACCAACTACTATAACCTTACCAAGCAACCAAACAACACATTTTATTCACCTCTGCCTCTGTGTATCTCGAAACACAAGATTCCTATTAAGCATTCACCCTGCTCTGAGTTCTTGGGGAATCTAGTGGGTGCTTCCCCAATAACTGTCCCGTTAACTTGATCCTAAGGAAGCCTGGCTTCAAATAACTCATAGGCAAAGATGCTGTGCTCAAGAGGAGAAATGCAATCTTCTGGATAAAGGACCTTCAGGCTCAGCTTTGGGTTTTGCAGACAGCTTCAAGTCCCCATCTTGCAACAAGGAAACACTCAAAGGTTTTGATACTAGGTGGCACCATAGAGGCTCAAGACCTCGGAAGTCACTTTGTAATGAGGGAACCCAAAGCGGGTCCAATCATCCTCAGGACAGCCTGCTGTCACTCCAGCAGAAGAGGCAAGGCATTTCTGAATACAGACTGTCACCAAACCAAAGACACCATTTAAATCACGTTCCCAGTGGAATCTGCTAAAGGTCTGGCCATGACACCACCTTTATTGCTTACCTGTATCCCAGTTTCTTGACTCACAAATAGCATTRCACTAAATGATCAGGAGGAAACTCAAGGGCATTTCTCTCGGCAGAGAGAATCCCAATGGTACCCAGGATCTCAGCTTCCCAAGTGAGGCGACTGCCCTTTTCCTTCCACTTTGGATTCATGGCTGGGTCACATTCTACCCACCCCAGCAATCACGTTTTAGCTGATGTTTTTCAAGAACAGGTGTTTCCAGGTCTAAACTGAGAAACAGACGCCAAAGGACAAGCTTGTGGAGCAAAAAGCCAATCTCACCATTAGCTGACGAGGAGAAACAGTGCTGGATATTTCCTGAAGAAGATGTGCTACAGTTCTGCCAGAGATCTGTCGCATGTCCATTGCCCACGATCCATTGCTAGAAAGAATCAAACATCCTGAATCAAAGGAGGTAATGAGGAGTAAAGGGAATGACAGGAAGCAGTCCCAGGGACGGCAAAGAGCAGCCCTATCCACCTGGCTGCCTGGCCTGTTGCTGCCCTCCCCAGTATTATACTGGTCAAGTTCACAGTTATGATCAGAAAATAAGAGGGGTGACAGTCTAGTACAGACATCATGCACTTTGCAAATAGAAAAGTAACACACACACACACACACACACACACACAAAAATTATGTGCAGAGGTGAGTAGTACAGAAGAAGGAGCTATGATGTCATCCCAACACAACTTCATTCAACCATTTTTACCCTCTTCATGTCCTGGGTATCATTCCCCAAATCATTCCACCCCCTCTCTAAGCCTGTTTCTTACAATTCCTATCAATTTGACAAGACTATCATCACACATAATTAAGGTCTTATAAAGATGCCTGTAAGTGATAAAGCAATTCACAAATCTCTAACATAATTATTTCTCAAATAGACTTAGAAAATCATGGGTACAGCTTGCCTTACGTTAAGACGTTAAAGTCACAGGCACGTAACTACCTGAGTTGCTGCTCATCTTCACAGGCAAGTGAAAAAGTTCAAAATCTAATATGTCTGATGGTTTTGTAACAAGTTATTCTGCTGACCTGTTCACATCAGTGGAAGCTTGACTAACACCCATAAAGCAGATGTGGAACTTGCAAACATTTTCYGGAAAAGCCAATTTTAACTTTCTAAATTCAAGTGGTGTTTTATAAAGTAAGCCACCCATCTGACCTACGGTTTGGATAAAAAAATTTCTTAAATTYTCCACTTACTTCCTCTAGAAGGTTGCATCAAAAAAAAAATTGCTAAACAGTCTTATCAAATGAAGCCTGCGGGACAGTTGATGGGCCTTGAAATTATTTTGTTATAAATAGAAGCCTAAGCGGCTAACCTAGTCCAGCGATTGCTTGCTTTCTACCCCAGAATCTGCTCGGGTTTTCTCAAAACAACTGAAAGGAGGCAGATTGCCAGAAACGAAAAGAAAAAGAGGGAAAAAAAACCGCTCTGGGACATCTGAGACTTCTAGTTGTCTGCAAATAACAACCCCTCTCTGAACCAGGAGGGGTACTGGCTGGGAATCAAGGTGAGGAACTGCCCGCCACCCCGGGGAGTCTCCCCTGCCCGCTGGTAACTCACGCTGACGATCGTGGAGACGAACAGCAACACTAGCACAGCGACGTGGAGGACAATGATTCCCAGCAACAGGAGGAGCATTCTGGCAAGTTCTGCTCAACGGAGTTCCTGCCTGCACAGAGAGAGAGCCCAAACTGGATGAGAGGCCGAACGCACTGGTCGGCCAGAGAGGCGCGGGCAGCGGAGCGAGGGAGGAGCGCGCCGAGGGAGGATCCCTGTGCTAGCGGAATGCCGGGGCCTGGCACTGAGCGCCGCTGCCCGCCTGCCCGCGCGCACCGCTGCCAAGAGGGGGCGGCAGCCGACCGTAAGATCCCCGCCCAGCCGGCAGCTGGGCCCGCCTGCAACCGAACATCTTTTGCATTTGGAACAAAACAAGCGGTGTGCACGTCTCAGGAGGAGTTTCTAGAATGACTGGTCCACGGGAGGCCTCCAAGCGTCCMGGAAGCCTCCCAGGGACATCCTGACCCAGGAAAGGGGAGAGACCGCGCTTTCCTAAACACGGATTTGGATGGGGATACCCCCTCTAGGGTAGAAGTAGGGATAAGGGAAAAGTTAGCTCCAGATTTATGATAGGCCTGGAGTCACCAGAAGCCAATTAGGAGGGAGAGCGCAGCAGGAAGGATGGTTTCCCAGACCCCAAAGTTCACGGCAGTCCGTTGGTCTCCAACTTTCCACCCAGTTTTGCCAGCGTCGGGGAGTCGTCCTGGCCTCAGCTCTGCCTGGCGTTAGATCTACTGGAGACTCTGGAGAGACAGCGCAGAGCCAGGGGAGTGTGGAAAGGAAAGAATGGCCCGGGAGGGTTGCCCGACCCGGAGCTTTCCGACCTTAGTGCGCTTTCCCCGGGCAGCCCCTGAGGGAGGGGGGCATTCTGCTCCCGGGCTAGCCCCTGTGATCCCCGGGGGGGGGGGGGAATCTAGTCTGCGCCCCAGGCACTTAGAACCCCAGCGCGGACCGGGTCCAGTCTGGGCGGGGCGGGGGAATCATGAGCCCAGGAGCTTGATCTCAGGGGTGTAGATGTCTGGCGGGAAGGAAAGACAGAGGGTAAAGACTTGATTGGAATCCCAGAAGAATTCCAATTGGTTAGAGCTGGCAGTAAGAACATCTTCCATCCGATTTTGTGAGCTCCTAGACTCTCATTTACAGACTTTAAGGTTGGGGTGACCTGTTAGAAGGATTGTGTCTCTGAGGACCAGTTAATGACAGAGTCTTGTGCCAGAGAGGCATTTCAGTGTTTTAAAAGTACCCAAATCCCTGGAGCCTCCGTTTCACTCCACAAGCCACACAGCCAAAGAAACCCCGAAAAGCACAGAAGAAATAACCAAGGCTTTCTGATGTCTTTCAGAAGGGTTAACATTAAATGCGATGCTTCCTAGTGCCCAGGAGCAAGAAGAAGATGCTCGCTCGGGCATGTGGCGTGAACCTGGAGGACCACAGGGGTCCAGTAACCCTGGAATGTCTACTCTAGGGAATGTTTTACCAATGCGTCCTGGAATCCACCCCTCTCCAGCGAGTCTTCTTGCACCGCCCTTAAGTAGCCTCTATCCAGACACCACCACCACACCCCGCGCCTGGTASGGTGGTCTACAGACCAGAAAGGCACTCCTCACGGTCTGCTTCCCAGGTAGAAAGGAAATGAGACAGACAGAGGTCTGCAAGCTCCTGACAGACAGTTCAGGGACCTGGCCAGAGTCGGTTGCCTGCTGTCAGCCTTCTGGCAAACTCCCGACAGAAGATGCCCATGTTTCTCCCCATCTCCTCACTTTCTCCACCACATTACTTACAGCCCAAAGGAATAGATGTCTTGGATCAGAGCGGTCTCCGGTACAGACTTGAGTCGTATGCTCTGTTGCTGGCGTCCCCAAAGACAGCTGTGCTGCGGGGCTGCGGGCGCGAAGCAAGGGGGCAGTGGGAGGCTCCTGGCTTTCCCCTTTAACCGGAACAACGCCCTGTTTGCGTCGCSGCACCAGGGTGTGTCTCTGGGTCAGCGTGTGCGGGAGGGCGGGATTCAGGGAGGAGAGCTGGCAGGAGGGAGTAAGGGAGGGCAGGCGGGGGACAGTTATTTGGCCTTTAATGCGCCTCGGGGAAAAAGCCGATCTCTGCAAAACCAAGGCGACTTTTACTGGAGACTAGAGGCCGCTGAACTTTTCTCACCTCCCACCTCTCCTTGACTCGGCMGTGCTCATGGAAACTTATAACTTGGCCCCTCGGCCCCCTCAGTCCACGTAGGAAAAGCCAGCCAGATGTCGCCCCAAGGGTGTCCAACGCGGGGCTTCGGGGCGCCCTGGCGCCAACTGAGCGCACGCGTGGGCTGAGGCCAAATTCTTCTCCTCCCTGTAGCAGTGAACCTGCGCTTAGACGCTGCCGGAAGACTTCCCTCTCTGGACATTCCCCCACCACACTGTTCCCCTCTGTGTCTGCATCTAGGAAGTGTGCTGACTTCTAAGATTCCWGGAGACCAATCTAGAGGACCCTGCTTGGAGGAAAATTAGCGGGAGGAAGAAGAACCAGCTTGACAATGGGACAGTACGTTGGGATCCCGCTGCTCCTAGCCTAGGCAAAACCAGACGACCAACTAATAAGTTCCAGGCGAAGTTTGCCTGAGGCAGTCTGGCTTGGCTCCCATCCTTGGCCAGGCGTCCTGGCCACGGGGTGTAAGGGAAGCGGCCATTTGAGGTGGGGGAAAAGCAGCCAGGGAAATCAGCWGATGCATAGCCGCCTGAGTGTGGCCCGCCCAGCTCTATGGAGAGAGTGGCTAGCACTTCTTGGCTTTGTGCAGGTGCACCCATCTAAGATGCTTTCCAGTCGGCCAGCCCTGGTGCACCGAACAGGGAGCCAGAATGTGGCTGATAAATGTCTTTGCGTGCTAATAATGCAGCAGTTTACACCACATTCTCCCTACCTGGGTCATGAGGCCTCATCACCCTAAATGGCTCAAAGAATTCCAGATTATTTTGTCATTTGAAAGTAGCTGTTATTTTAACTAATCTTATATCCTTACTCTTTAAGTAAAAATAAATGCATAAGTTTTTTTCAGTGTTTTTTTTTTTAAAAAAAAAACTTTTCAGATTAAAAAAAGACTTGTAAAAACTTTTATTCAATTCCCATTAAATGCCAGATGCTGGCATATAGGATCCTTGGGAAGCAGTGTGGTACATTGGATAGGCACTCTGGCTCTGGACTTGGACAAACCTGATCACCCACCCACTTACTTCTGTTGTCAATCTGSGCAATTTCTGAAGTTCACTTCAGTTTTATTGTTTATAAAGAGGGCTTTCAGTTCAGTGTCAGTTTTCTTGTTTGCAAAGACAGTCAATACTGCCTGTTTCAAAAAGTTTTTTGATGATAATTAAAGGAGACCACATGTATCAAACAGTCAGYATAGTTATCTAGAATAAAATAAGGACCTAGACCCCAAATTGTCACCACTATTATTATAATATCTCATTTAACCCTCACACTGACCCTTTTCAAGGCACACCAAACCACCACGAYTCTAAAATAGCTTATAAAGCCATATGAGAGTGCATATGCAAGTGGAATGACTAGAGAAATGGAGGCATTTTTTTCTACTTTGTGGGTCATTTTATAAGCCAGATTTGTCCCAGAAATTATTGCCTAGTTTTGTGCTATTCTGCCTTTTATTTATATGACGAGTATTTATGTACTACTACCTATCCAGTACTATTCTAAATGCTTTACAAATATTAGCAATATTTATCTCAGGATTTTCTTTCCTATCCTTTCTGTTTTTTTAAGTAAACTTTTTAATAAATTATACATCTAGAAAAGTTCATGCATTATAAATGCACAACAGCTTGCTTCTTCTTTTCTTTTGAACCCAATATTTTCATCAATAACTACTCGGGTCACAGCCACACCTTAAGCTTCCAGACTGGTGAACCCATCCATCTCTTACAGCCTCTTACTTCCTGCCTGGTTYCCAGTAGCAGAGAAGAAATGCTGYTCAATACAGTGCCAACCAGGCCACACCCAGGACCTAGCCAGCTACAGGTAGAGGGGTTTTCCTAACCTACTTGCCAAGATGACTGGCCAGCTGTTTCTCATCAGGGAAAAAGCATCTAGCCCTCTTTCTCTCTTCAGTCTGGATATGGTAGGTTTCCTAGATCCTCTTAGATGATTCTCCTGCCTCCCCAGCCAGAGTATATACATATATATCCAGCTCTGAACCAAAATTTGTAAAAAAAATCCTCTGATTCTCCAGTCAATTCCAGCACAAATGTGCTGTCTTCATTGAAGTTCCTTCCTTTTAAATTTGCAGGGGTTAGGGAATCAGGTAACTCTCTGTAAACAAACACACCACCCAGAGGAACAATTTGCCAATGAAACTCACCAGACCAAACAGCGTAACCCCTTCCTCCAAGCAGATTTCTTTGCAGTCAAATGCAAAGGACAGCGAGGCAAGGCCCTCCCCACTGGGCAGCCAGTGACCCACAGACAGATTAAGCCCCACTGCCTTCAACCAGGTTCCTGGAGATGTTCCCTGCAACTGAACCCAGACCAAGCGTCTTTCCAGTTTATTCAGGGGCTGGTCCAATGCTGGGATATGTCATGGTGGCCTGAGAAGCTCTCAGTCTCTACAATTTAAAGAGACAGTGTCCAGCTTTATGTACCTTCTAGAACAGCATGATCCCCGGAGGCTCTGCAGGGAATGGAGAAGCCTGCAGTCAACTGAGACAAGAGCTTAGGGTATGCCTGAAACCCCGGAGCCACGGCTGTTCTTCCTGGGAGTGCCAGCCAGCAGCATCCTAGCAGAGAAGTTCAGACAATTCTTAGCACCTCCCCTCAACTCCCAGAGAATTCTGCAGGGATGAAATCTACTCTGTGAGGGTCTGTGTGTGTGTCGTGTTATATGTGCACAGTTAAGTTTCATTTTAAATCAACAACATCTTTTTAAGCACAGATGACTTCTCAGAGTATCACCCCAGGGAGGCAAATGTCTCAAAATCACCAAATCAGGTTATTTGCTCAGTTGGCAAAGATCTMTGCTACCTGCCCCACCCCAATATACCACACTGGCAGTATATTAGAATAAAGCTCAGAGAAATGGCTCTTCCAGCTCTGTCTTTRATGAGCCCTCCATCAAGTAATTATTAAATGTTGACTTTCATAAGCTAATTCAATTCAAGTAAACAAACCTCTACAGAAAACATTCTGACCTGTCAGGCAGGGTAGGCTGAGAGAGCAATTGGATAGCCACAAAAAGTTGGCAAACAAAGGCAYGATCTTCTTTTTAGCTTCTCACTCTTTCAGGCTCTCAAAAAGCGTTCCCATCTAGGCTTCTCTGWCCACSSGTGAGAGCAGCTTAGTAAAAGAATAAGCAAAGCTCCTMGGTGGGTGCTCTAAGACAAAGGGTTGTGGTTCCATTGAACAAATKTCATGGAATTCTGGCAATTTCCCATCTCTTATGTCAGGGATCCCCAATTTGGAGCTACCCATAGAATTTGGAGAGGTCCCTGTCTGCTAGGCTCCTTAATCTTCTAGAAGTGAGTCTCAAAGGCCCTGTTCAATTATTCTGCTCACAGYCAGCCTCTTTCCAGTCCAAATGAAACAATTTCACTTTTATTTTATTTTATTTTTTTTACCATTTCTTAAGTCATCTTTATTTTTTGCAATGTGGTTCCAGCCCTGATTGCTCTTTGGAACCACCCAAGAACTCCACCAATGACCTAGCCTAGACCTRTGCCCAGAGATACTGCTGTTGGTGGTCAGGGAAGGGGTTCAGTGTGGGTAATTTRTAAGGTTCTTCTTCCCCAGAATGTTTCATTGTCCAGCCAGGTTGTTGGGAGTTAGCATGTCCCTGTTTTCCTTCCAGTTCCCTTCTGCGGTGGGACCCAAATTGAGGTAAGGATCAGTGTGGGCTGCAGTGTTTCGCAAGTTGAGGTTTAGCCTTGCCCAGAAAAACAGGGTGTGTGTGTGTGTGTGTGTGTGTGTGTGTGTGTGTGTGTGCGTGCATGCGCGCGCGCAAGAGAGAGAGAGAAAGAGAGGGAAAGAAGGGAACACTCCTCAATCCTCCTGTACAGAGCACGTGGGAGCCAAGGAGCATGGTTTTTCCAACCTCTCTAGAAATGCATCCCCATGATTAGACCTGACATTGTATGATGGAGGCTGCTGCCCTTTAGGCCAGAACCAAACATGGACACATCTGAGAAGACCATTCCTCTTCCAAGAGCTAAGAATTTGGAAGAAGAGTGTTGGGTGAGGTGAAGGCTGATGGTATGGATTTTGCTTCTAACTGAATAGAACTGTTCCAATCAGCCAGTCTCCCCCCCCCCCCCCCCCCCCCCCCYMCCCCCCCMCCYCCMYGAGCTTCTCTTTCCAGAACCTGATTTCCAGACCATTTTTCTCTCCTCTATCCCTAGCAGACAAACCCTGAAAGTCCTTCTGGGTTGGGTTCACTCGCCCACACCTCCATGGAGCCAAATAATTCTGGTCTTCTCTCCCCTGTTTCAAGTAGCCCTCTTCTCAGCTGGATGGTACACCTATCCTGGACATCTACCTTGAGTAATGTGTCTGTAGGGCCATGGAGAATATTCCTCTGGGCCACTTTCCTTATATAATGATCACATAGAACAGTCATCCAATCAATCACATTTATCATTAATATTTTCTCCCTTTCACACATAGGGAAAATTAGAATTATAAAACTTCCCTGTGGAAACATAGGTTAAGTCAGATTGGTTAATTCTAATACTTGTACTTTTCTGCTGCAGTAACAACACATTATCCATAAGTTATTGATTAAAGTACTAAGAATAGACCATATTTATTTGGTGCCCATTAAGAGTCAGTCACCAACCTGAACAATTCAATGAATCAAATAATTGAATCCTTACTTTATGGAATTGACATCACTATGCTTTTATAAGAAGGGGAAACTGAGGCCCAGCAAGACCTTGAGGAACGTTCTCAAGACACTGCTACAGTGCCCATGCTGTCTTGCATCCTACATTGCTCCTACCTGTGTCCAGCACATCTATCTTCTTTCGCTATGTTTT